GCTTAAAGAAGAGCTGTTCTGGCCACCTTAACGGGTACATCCCTGGGTGAAGGAAGAAGCTTGGCACATGGATGCGCTTTAAACCCTGAGTCAGATATGTTTCCATAGCTTGGTCTTGAAATACCTACATCTCACATGTCCCAGTTTCAGTTTCCACCTCTCAAAAATGTAGTTGCAAGCTGTTCATTGCATTTTGTCCGTTCTGTGACCTGCACACCCGACTCTGTGCTTCGGGATCTCTCTGGCATCAGCAGAGCCAGCTGAGACTGTTTTGCCTCTTAGTGCTATGAGAGTTTCAATGTTTATTTTTTAAAATATGTCATCAGCGACTCGAAGCAGAAGCAGAACAAACATTCAGATGGACCAGCACGGAGACCATGAGGGATCCTCCCAGGAGACCATCCCAGAAGTCCAGCCAGAAGAGGTGCTTGTGATTTCTCTGGGGACAGGCCCACAGATTACTCCGGGTATGATGTCAGAAAATGAGGTATGCACACGTTGCCAGATACAAGGCCTGTTTTGCAAACATACACTCTGCATTTCTTAAACTGTGAAATAATACTTAGGTGGTGTCACAAACTAAAGCAAGGCGTTTTAGAATTGGGGCTAAACCCTTCATCTGTTTCACCGCATTTAGGGATTGTAGAAGTCACCCAAACAGTAGACCCAGACCAAACAGGGAGGAGTGCTTCTGTCAGTTTGTGACCTATCCATTTTCCTCCCTAATTGTGGGTGGCGTGCAAGTGATGCATTGCATGTCCCAGTTACAGACTCCTGAAACATGGGATTTGGAATGGAAGTGAAACGGCGTCACCTATCATTGCAGGAGGGGCAGTGTTAGCACAAGAAGAGTTAACAGCTCCAGCCTAGAGAAATGTTACTCCACGATATGGGTTGGGAGCTCACTTCAGTTGTCGCATCCGAGCCCGTAAAGCAAATGCACCGGGATTATATTATCCATGTGTAATCCGCTCATTATCTGCTTGACGAAAGGCATGGACAAATTAAAGTCCAGTGGAGTGCACCGAGAATGAGTAGAGGTCTGGGCAGTATGATCTATGAGGAAAGGCTGTGAACTGGGACTGTTTAGTGGGGAGAGGAGAAGATGGCGGGGGAGGATTGATGTCTTGAAAGAATTGAAGTGAGGTTATATGGAGGATTGTGATGGTTTATTCTGTGTGGCCACAGAGGACAGGACAGGAAGAAGTGGTCTCAGATTGCAGCAAGGGAAATGTAGGTTGGATGTTGGGAAGAACCATCTCAGTGGGGATGCTTAAGCATTGGAACAGGTTGTGGAGAGAGGTGGTGGAATCGCCGTCCTTGCAAGTTTTTAAGAGCAGGTTGGACAGACACTTGACTGTGGTGGATGGTTTAGGCAGGGGTGATCCTGCCTTGAGCAGACAGCATGACCTCTTGAGGTCCCTTCCAGCTCTCGTCACCTAGGACGTGACATATATGTAATTTAAATGAGAAAGCGGCATACTTCCTTGAAGTGCATTGCTGTCTTGCTCAGTAATTCAGATCTCCTTCCGTTAACATGCTGTAATTAGCAATTTCCCCACAGTATTATGGTGCTGCGAAAGTGAAGTCAGGTGGTGATTCCATTATCATTTACTGCATGCCTACATTTTGCCTGTTGTAAAACCTCTTCAGGCTTTGACTTTGCAGAAAATGGCTCTGCCATGATTCATGTGAATATTTTTTAAATTTGAGATGGTGGAAATTGCTTTTGCTCATTAAATTCTAGAGGTGATCCTCGTTCACGTGTGTGATTTCACTCACTGTTAAATAAAACTTAAACCACTTTCCTGGGTCAATTAATATTTATTTTTCCCCACACCCCTCATCCCCAACCCCTCAGGTCTTAAACATGCAGCTTGCAGATGGAGGACAAGGAGATGTCCCTGTTGATGAAACCAAACTCCACGGTAAACCTGATAAAACCTTGCGCTTTTCCCTCTGCAGTGATAATCTGGAAGGAATATCTGAAGGTGAAGGGTTACTTAAGTATTGAAGAAGTTTTGTGTGCCAGATTTTAATTATAAAAGGAGCCTCTGTTAAATTAGCATCTCATCTTTCCCATTAAAGTCTGTATCGTATCCTCCCCCCACCCCCAAAAAAAGCTAGCCTTCATTTTTAGCCATAAAACATATTCTTGATTGACATAGACATCCAAGGGCCTGGGGATAATTTGGACCAGGAGGAACAAGTTCAATATTGACAGCGTATTTAAAAATAAATAAATAAATAAAACCTTTGCCACAAGTGCACTAACATGGATCATGCTACTCTGAGATGCCTCAAAGTTTCTAATGACCAAACTTCTATTTAATCCTATTTTCAGCAATTTCTGTATGTTTCAAAATGTCTCCTAGGCTGCTAACAGCTCCTTTTGGCTGGGTATCACACACAACAAACAGCGTTTTAAAGAGGCTTCTACGAACTATTCAGATGTCTCACGAATATGCATTATTTCATTACCTTCCATGATTAGTTTATTTCTCTCCTTATTTTGTCGCATTAAAACGGTATTACGAGAGAACAAATCATTGCAAAGGCTGTGTTTTAATATTTGGTAAAAGGAAGCATGCTAACTTCGAGATGCCAACGTGTGGTAAAGTATTTGTGGAAGAATTAGTATTGTGTGGCACTGAATGTGTAAGATGCTATTTACACGAAATGCAGTGTGTTCTGGTTTCAGTTCTACCAGGTGATTTGAATGCTGGTATTGAACATATTTCTCATTGGGGCAGATATTTGAGTCCAGAAGTTCAGTACTGAACACGAATGGCTAATTTGCAATGAGAACAGCTTGGGAGTTTGTTTTTACTAACAAGTTGCACCTTCTATTGTTTAGACTCTGAGTTTGGAAAAGACTTTGCAGATGCAAGTAACAGGAAAATCCATTTTCAACAGGTCCTTCAAATCGTTCCAATTCTGTGTCGTCTTTGGATCTGGAAGGAGAGTCTGTCTCAGAGCTTGGGGCAGGGCCGTCTGGAAGCAATGGCGTTGAAGCGCTGCAGCTGCTGGAACATGAACAAGGCAGGTGCTAAAATTCTAATCAAAGTGACTGGAGTGCTGCTGTAGACGTGGACTTAGGAGTCTGACGTGTCTGCAGTGAATTAGATGGGTAAATGGCTCTTCTGCACTGAAAGGCAAGGTGGTTGTTTTTGTTTTTTTATCAGACCATCGGCGTTGGAGGCGACGAGCTTTCAAGCGCACAGTGCTTTTCATCTCTTTGTGTTTTACGTGTTTGCCTATCTCACGTTTCATTGGAAAACAACAGCAAAGTTGCGTCCGTTCTTAGAGAAACGAATGTGTGCTGTATTTTGAGACCTCTGCCATTATAGTGAAACATTTGTAGATGGTGCTTTCTCTTCCCTGATTGTCGAACTGTAGAGACTGGAAAGGTTAAAATATTTAGGTCCATTCCTCGTTGATTCCTGAAAATAAACTTGCGCAAAGGACTCTGTCCTCCTCAGTTTTAAGTCCCTTAACTGATAGAAAATTAACTTCTTTCCTTGACAAGATTATTCCAGAAACTTCTATCTCACTTGGTTAGCCAAGTGTTGATGATATTCTGGCCAAAATTCAGATTCGTATTATCCCATTACTCCCAGTTCAGTTCTTCCTTTCTCCATTTGTGGTTGTAGGTGGCCTCCATAACTTCTTGACTCCTTGTGGGCCAATACTTGTACATTTTTAATTTTTCCTCTTTATTTCTCAACTATGACTCAGTGTTGTCATACAGCATGTATTTAATGATAATTACAATGATTAGGGTATTCGAAGTGCTGCACTTTCCCTAGTTACTTAAATCTCTTGTTACCAGACACTCGGCTCTTTCTCTCTGTAACGTGCGCGCTAGTTTGTTGTACACTTTTCATTAGAGGAAATTGGAGAAGCCTTTTTCAAAAAACTGTAAAAACTTTTTATTTTTACAGCCACGACTCAAGATAATCTTGATGACAAGCTCCGTAAGTTTGAAATTCGTGATATGATGGGACTGACTGATGATAGGGATATATCAGAAACTGTGAGCGAGACCTGGAGCACGGACGTCTTGGGCAGTGACTTCGATCCAAATATTGATGAAGACCGTTTGCAAGAGATTGCAGGTAACGGGTGGGGGAGCACATCAAGGGCAGCAAACTTCCTTCAGCTTGTCACAGCAGCAGGGCGAGAGCATCTGTAAATCTGCATCTGTAAAGGACCTGGCACCTGCATTGTTAAACATGCACTGTTTTGTAGGACAACTTCAGACACATCCTATGCTTCTAGCGGTGGCTTTCCTGTCTTTTAATCTGTTTTTGTGACCCCCATCACTGCTGAATGCAGGATATGAATGATCTGTTTGCTCTCCCCTTTCTTATCATCCCTGCCTAACCCTTTGCTCCCCCTTGCTTATTCAGGTGCAGCCGCAGAGAGTATGCTGGGCAGCTTGCTGTGTTTGCCAGGTTCGGGATCCGTGCTGCTTGATCCCTGCACAGGTTCAACCATTTCGGAAACCACCAGTGAAGCCTGGAGTGTGGAAGTGCTGCCAAGTGATTCAGGTGAGAATCCTGTGCCTCATCCTTGGGCTGCTCTGTAACATGAACTGAAAAGTCCTTTTCTGTGCCTTTGTTTGGAGAAGTGTTTCGCATGCATTGCCCCATAATGTGCAAATGTTACCTTGGTGTCCAGTCCAAATTCCGCACATGCCAAACAGTTAATAATTATATGATGGTCCACTTTTAAGCAGTGGTGACAGCGTATTTAAAAATAAAATGAGGAGAGCCTGTAGTATTTGGGTGTCATTCTTTACAGCTGCTGGGGGGGAGGGGTCTTTAAGATTAATTGGCATGGTGGTTACAGATACCAAACAGATACTGACATTGCAATAAAAAGCTGGGTTTTTTGCTCTCCTGTTGGCATTAGGAGCACATGGTAAGGCAGCAGAAGAGTGAGTGCTGGCCAGGGGGATAGCAGATGTTCTCTGGTGTTCTGGGGAAAGTCGAATGTGGGCAGAGGGACTCCGTTTACCGTACTGTTGCAGACAGAAGTAGTCATTTTCATAACTCTGTCTTAGTGTCCAAGAGCACAAGAGAAGATCTTGTATGACTGGGGTGGTTCTCTGGCTGTGTTCTAAAAGAACTGTTCAACTACACATCTTCCACTATAGATGAATCAGGAAGAGAATGTGGCCTTTTTGGAGAAACTACAGGAACATCTAAAGGCCAAGATCTGTGGTAATGAGGGAGGGACTTCAGTTGCCTGGCTGTATGTTGGAAGAGCAATACAACAGGTCACAGCTCATAAAGTCCTTGGACTGTGTTGAAAAGAACTTTTTTTTCAAAGGGGAACAAATCTACCAGAAGAGCAACTGCTTTAACTTTTTGTTTCTGACCAGTAAGGAGGGTTGGCTGAAAAACTGAAGGTGAAAAGCAATTTAGCTGCAAGCAGCTATAGAAGGATAGAGTTCTGTAGCTGAAGAGAGGGGAGAGCAGCAGAATGTGGGTAATGGATTTAAAAAAAAACTTGACTTCATCAAATTGAAACCCTGCCCACCAGGTTCTCCCTTGGAAAGCTAATTTAAGAGATGAAGGGACACAAGTGAGCTGGCAGTCATTGAAAGGGGCTGTATTAAAGGCTTAACAGCGGACTGTCTTGATGGGCAGGAAAGATAGGAAGCACAGTAGGAGACCATTATGGCTGAATCGAGCTCTTTAAGGACTTAAATCAGAAGTGGGAACAAAGGCACAGGACTAAGTGGGAGTATAAAGGAATAGCATAGGCATGGAGAGGTACAATCAGAAAGGCAAAGGCATCAAGGTAGTTACAACTAGGAAGGGGACGCAAAACGTAGCAAGAAAAGGTTCTATAAATACATGAGAAGAAAGGGAATACAAAGGAAAGCACAGGCCCAGACCTCACGAAGAAGGAGAACAAGCAAAAGGTGGGATAGAGAAAGCTGCTATTATCTTTTGCTTCAGTCTTCACAAAAAAGGTTAACCAGGTAGTTAAAACTAATTATAACAATACAATAGGAGTGAGGTCAGAACAGAACAGGATAAAGAGCAAGTTATTTGTCAAACCCATTTTTACATACTAAAGGGATTAGCCTAAGCAATTTATGAATAAGGAGTGATCATCTTTGAGAACTCATGAAGCATGGGGGAGTCCCCAGGTGCTCGGAGGACAAATGATGCATACCTTTAAAAAGCCAGGGAAACAGAAGCCTGAGGGAATTATAGGCCGGTTACACTGTCCAATATCCAAAGAGACACCAGAACAAATTATTAAACAATTTATTTAAAAGCACATAAAGGATAGTAAGGTGAAGAAACAGCTAGTGTGGACTTGTCAAGAGCCATGTATCTCATCAGCTTCACTTCTTGCTTTTCGTGACAGTTAGACTAACAGATAAGGGGAAGCTGTAGCTCTGATACGTTTTGGCCTTAGCTTGGCTTTGGATATTGTCAAAAGCAAACTAATGAAATATGGTTAGATTAAGTTGAGAAGATATCTGCTTAATTTTGTAGTGAATATGATTTAGATTGTGTGTTGGAAAAGCTTTCTAGGGAGAAGGGGAGAGCGGTACGGGGGGGGACTGCTTAGGGAGGTGGTGGAATCCCCTGCCTTTGAGAACAGGTGAGACCAGCTTCCATTGGACATGCCTGGTTGTCCTCATCCTCCCCGGGTCCCCCTAGCCTGCATTTCCAGAGGTCTGCAATCCATCACCTGTAGCTAGGAAACAAAATAATGTGTTCATGAGTGAAAGCACAGATGTGACAACATCCATGTGGATAAAGGAGTGTGTGTACTGTCCCGCCTGCTGTGCAGCAGTGAAGCTGGTGACAGTTGTGTTACCGTTCCAGAAAGCCGGCAGTGTATTGTGTTAAGATCCAAATTCCCGTGTGCTCTTCTGTCTGAGAGTTTCCAGAGCCTGTGGTATCAGGAAGTACTGTGCTTTTTCCCTATGTAGAGGCCACAGACCTAAAGCAGGAAGAGAGACTGCAGGAGCTGGAAAGCTGTTCTGGGCTGGGCAGCACCTCCGATGACACGGATGTGAGGGAGGTCAGTTCTCGTCCCAGTACACCAGGCCTCAGCGTC